TGAGCCGGGGGAGGTGACCGTAGGCATGATCGAAGAGGAAGGTTTTAAGGTATGATCTGAAAATGAGAAGGGAGGGAAAGGGGCAAGGCAGAGGGATTGGGAGAGAGAGCTCCACAGTTTCGAGGGAAGACCATTCAAACTCAGAACCTTTGGGGGTCCCATATTGCTCAATTTCACTCCAGACTTCACCAACTGTTTCATTAGGTGCAAAACACACCCTAAACATAGAAATGTAGTTTCTTCAACAAAAAGTGTACGTGGAAAATTGTTCTGTATATTACAGAAAATTGAGCTGCCACGAAAGAATCCCAATTATAATGCAGAGAACTATTTTTCATTTTTTCAAACACATGCATGCCCGGAACATATTCCCAGGTTACTCCAAGTCATGTAGCTATTAAATCAGGTAATTATTCATTTCCCATACCATTCCTATAAATTATATATTTTTTAAAATGTAGTTTCCTCGCAAGCTTCTCTACGATATTATGCCGAGTGCAGTCAGAACAACTTAGGAATAATAATAAGATGTATTATTGAAAATGTTCTTATGGCAAAATCTATTTTAAATCAGATTATATTAACCAAATTATTGCTACAATAAAGCCTCAGATAGTGCTCGCTCTGCCTGCTCTTTGTATGTCTTTCCAGTTTTTGCAAAAGGCAACTAAAACTTTTATTATTATCATTAGTTTTTTTTAGGATAGGAGCTTTGACCGTTATGTTAAGAGGGTAGGATTAGTAAGAACAGTACCATCAAAATGGAGTGGAAATACATGCTTTCCAGGAAACTTTTGTCTTTGGAAAGTCATCCATCCATGAGGTGGCCAATTAGCCCACGTGTAGGTGCATGTGTCCTATTGTGAGCGCAATTAATAGCTGAACAACATTTATATTGTGCCAGAATTCAGCTCAGACTTTTACTCTTGTGCTGTTATCGTCTCAATTCTTGAAAGAGGAGTTCCCCCTCTGTTCCCCAACGCACCCTTCCCAACCATTGAAAAACAAGATGTGTCCATTACCATTGGCACAATCTACATCTCATTACAATTTCAGATGCACAAAACACAGTTAATTCACTTTACAATATATTCTGTGAAGCTCTTTGAGACATCTCGAAGATGTAATAAGGCGCTATATCAATTGCAAGGATTATTATTGTTATTATTATTATTTCCTTTTTACTCCTCACCCCCTCTCGTGCTTGACAAAAGGAAATCAATTTTTGGGGTTTAAATCTTCATACCATTCACAGACGACCGAAAGCCTCTCCTCTCTCTTTGTCCCAATGTTCCCCTCTTATAATAATAATAATCCTTGCATTTGATATAGCGCCTCATCACATCTTCTAGACGCCTCAAAGCGCTTCATAGAATAGACTGTAAAGTGAATTAATTGTATATTTGTGGGCAAAACATGGCAGCCAATTGCGCACAGCAGCGTCCCACAAACCGTCGTGGATTGAAGTGACCAATTTATTATTGTTTTTTTTTCTTGAGAGATTATTATTAGGGGTGTGGAGTAAGCAAACTTGCTCAAGGTTTCGCCCTGCCAGGAATCAAACCCAGGTCTCTCGTTTGAGAGGCAAGTGCTCTAACCACTGAGCTACTGGAACATTTCATAACAGATTCAGCGTGATAATCATTACACTAAATCAGGTACAGAATGTGGCAAATTTCACCCCTGTAATACAAAGCTCCACAAAAAAAACCTCCCCCTACATCAACCTGTTCACCCCAGTACAAACTTTCATCCAGATTTCTGGCAGTCTCTACTTGGCCTTTTGTTGCATTTCCTCGGCAGTTTGGGATTAAAAGTAGTCTTTGATGCCATCGAAATCCCAAGGGAACAAAGAAATGGCAAATGGTCACACAATGATGTTATGATATGAAATTTCCAGATATTATTTTGTGGGCGTTTCGTCCCACTTTCCAGTATATTCTGTGAAGCGCTTTGAGACATCTCACCGACCTGATGAGGTGCTATATAAAATGCAAGGATTATTATTATGCTTTTAAACAATTTGGTATAATTCTAATAATCATTTTATGCACCACTTTATCACGTTGTTGAGTATGTATGCATCAACTAGAATATGCAGCAGGTAGAAGGAACTTAGGTGACTAACATAGGACTGTAGTTGAAACAGTTTCTGATCAGAGCAAATATCTTCCTTTTACAGTTCACTGTTCTGTTGCCAGCATTTAAATCAATCTTAGTTTCTGATAGCACTTAAGGCACACAGGCCAAATACTGACCCTGCCTCGCTCGTTAGCCTGCACACTGCATGCACAAATTTCCTGGTTACAGTTGACTGGGACTGACTGCGTTTGGGAACATTTTCCTGTTCTTCTAAACGTGTGCGATCCTCCTCTGTTTCACACAGAACAATGCACAGTAGCGATGCTCTCCTCAGAACAGATTGGGAGGAGGAGAGCGCGAGCGAGAAAGAGAGGGAGGGTGGTGGGGGGGGGGGGAAAGGAGGAAGGGATGGCTTACGCTCGTCCATTGAGAAATTAACAGTATTTGTTTGTGAGGTACATCTATAAACCTCCTCTAATTGTGAGTGTGTGTGTGTGTGCATAAAGTGTGCGCTCAATTGATTTCACTGGGATGGATTGAGGAACGAGAGGGATGCAATCCTGAAATTTTACCAGCTATTGACATTGATGACAGGGGAAAGTGGAGGAGGGACAGACGGACAATGTGCAAAGAAAAAAAATCTTGTTTGCAATTGACAAAGGGGTTGGAAGGAAGACAGTCAGACAGTCAAGTGTGTGGAAAAAAAAGCCTGTTTGCAATTGATTTGCAATTGACAAAAGGGTTTGGGTTGGGAGATAAGGGATTTAATACACAGTATTATTAATACTGTATATCCTGTGAAGCGCTTTGAGACGTCTCAAATATGTGATAAGACGCTGTGTCGAATGCAAGGATTATTATCATTATAACAAATGTAAAATTGTATTGTATTAGAAAACTATTACCTTCGAAAAGGTAAATACATGCCTGTATAACCTGCGATAAAGATGTTGACACTCTTTTGGTTACACTCTCGATGGATATATAAGGAAGAAGAGTAGAGGGAGAGGGATATTGGGTAAGCAGAGTAGTAGGGGTGGGGGTTTGGGTGGGGTATAAACACCAGCACGGACTGAATGGGCTTTATCAAATGCAATGATTCTTATTATGTTATATAATAATAATAATCTGCCTTGCACAATTCGCTGACCCGTTTTGACCGCAAAAAATACACAGTAAAATTCACTTTACACTACATCCTGGCAAAGCGCTTTGAGACGGCTCGGTGACGCAACAAGGCGCTGCATCAAACAGGAGCACTGTTACAATAATAATTATTATTATTATTATTCAGCATCTCATTAGTTGGGTGGTGGGTGGTTGGTTGGGTGGTGGGTGGTTGGGGGGGTTTGGCTGGTGGATTGGGGGGTAGTTTGGTTGGGGGGGGAGTTGGGGGGTGGGTGTGAGGTATGTGGGGGAGGTGTTGGCTGGGTTGGGGGGTGGGTGGGAGGTATGGGGGGGGTTGGTTGTTGTGGGGGGAGTTGGTGGGTGGGTGGGAGGTATGGGGGGGTTGGCTGGGTTGGGGGGTGGGTGGGAGGTATGGGGGGGTTGGCTGGGTTGGGGGGTGGGTGGGAGGTATGGGGGGGGTGGCTGGATTGGGGGGGGTGGGTGGGAGGTATGGGGGGGTGGGTGGGAGGTTGGGGGGGTGGCTGGGTTGGGGGGGTGGGTGGGAGGTATGGGGGGGGGTTGGCTGGGTTTGGGGTCTGGGGGGTGTGGGCGAGGGAGGAGGAGGGGGGGGAGTGTGGGGGGGGTTGGCTGGTTTGGGGTGTGGGGGGTGTGAGGGGGGGTTGGCTGGTTTGGGGTGTGGGGGGTGTGGGGAGTGTGTGGGGTGGGGGGTTGGCTGGTTTGGGGTGTGGGGAGTGTGTGGGGGGGGTGGCTGGTTTGGGGTGTGGGGAGTGTGGGGAGTGTGTGGGGGGGGGGTGGCTGGTTTGGGGTGTGGGGGGTGTGGGGAGTGTGTGGGGGGGGTGGCTGGTTTGGGGTGTGGGGAGTGTGTGGGGGGGGGGTTGGCTGGTTTGGGGTGTGGGGAGTGTGTGGGGGGGGGTGGCTGGTTTGGGGTGTGGGGAGTGTGGGGAGTGTGTGGGGGGGGTTGGCTGGGTTTGGGGTGTGGGGAGTGTGTGGGGGGGGGGTTGGCTGGTTTGGGGAGTGTGGGGAGTGTGTGGGGGGGGTGGCTGGTTTGGGGTGTGGGGGGTGTGGGGAGTGTGTGGGGGGGGTGGCTGGTTTGGGGTGTGGGGAGTGTGTGGGGTGGGGGGTTGGCTGGTTTGGGGTGTGGGGAGTGTGTGGGGGGGGGTGGCTGGTTTGGGGTGTGGGGAGTGTGGGGAGTGTGTGGGGGGGGGTGGCTGGTTTGGGGTGTGGGGGGTGTGGGGAGTGTGTGGGGGGGGTGGCTGGTTTGGGGTGTGGGGAGTGTGTGGGGGGGGGGGTTGGCTGGTTTGGGGTGTGGGGAGTGTGTGGGGGGGGGGGGTGGCTGGTTTGGGGTGTGGGGAGTGTGGGGAGTGTGTGGGGGGTTGGCTGGGTTTGGGGTGTGGGGAGTGTGTGGGGGGGGGGTTGGCTGGTTTGGGGTGTGTGGGGAGTGTGTGGGGGGGGGTTGGCTGGGTTTGGGGTGTGTGGGGGGGGAGTGGGGAGTGTGTGGGGGGGGTTGGCTGGGTTTGGGGTGTGTGGGGGGGGGAGTGGGGAGTGTGTGGGGGGGGGTTGGCTGGTTTGGGGTGTGTGGGGGGGGAGTGGGGAGTGTGTGGGGGGGGGTTGGCTGGGTTGGGGTGTGGGGGTGTGGGGAGTGTGTGGGGGGGGGTTGGCTGGGTTGGGGTGTGGGGGGTGTGTGGGGGGGGGGTTGGCTGGGTTTGGGGTGTGGGTGTGTGGGCGAGGGAGGAGGAGGAGTGTGTGGGGGGGGGGAGTGTGTGGGGGGGGGAGTGGGGGGTAAGTTTTACCTCCAGACCTGTCCGAGTTGCAGAATGTGGATGAGGCACTGTGTGGACCAGAGGCAGACCCGGCAACACGCGGAGCCGGAGCCGGAGCCGGTGCCGGTGGAGCCGGTGGAGCCGGTGCCGGAGGAGGGCTGATGTTGCCGTCTGGCGGCTCCTGGTCTGTGGCCGCCGCCGCCGCCGCCGCTGTCCCTGGTCCTGAAGCCCTGCGGGAGGGCGGTCCCCCCGTCCTGGGCTAACGCCGCCGCCGCCGCCGCCGCCTCGGGACCCGCCGTGTAATCGTACACGAACCACCTGAAACTCAGCACCTGCACCACGGCCGAGGGCGCCACCACGAACACCAGAGTCAGCCCGAACCACCAGTAGTCGCCCCGACTGTAGTAGTCCACCGCCAACCACACGTCGGTGGCCCCGTCCGAGAAGAAGACCATCAGGGCGGTCAGCACCCAACAGCAGTCGGCCAGAGAGTAGCGCTGCCTCTGGTGGAGCACACACTGCACGGGGGGGCTCTGGCTCTGGCTCTGGCTCGGGGTCTGGCTGTGCTGGGGAGGGGCTGGGGCTGGGGCTGAGGGGTTGGGGTCTGGGCTGTGGCTGTGGCTGTGGCTCAACCCCAACCCCAACCTCTCCTTCTTCTCCTTCTCCTCCTCCTCCTCCTCCCGCGAACAGCCCCGACCTCCCACCCACCCTCCTCCCGGGCCATCAGACTTCGCAGCCATTGTTGGGCGAGGAGGAGGAGGAGGAGGAGGAGGAGATGATGGAGGAGGAAGAAGAAGAAGAAGAAGAAGGAGGAGGAGGAGAGTGAGTGGGTGGGTGGGTGAGTGAGTGAGAGTGTGTGTGTGTGGGGAGGAGGGGGAGTGATGGGGAGAGGGAGGGGGTGGGAAGGGGAGAAGCCAACACTAACCCAACACCAAACCACCCACCGACTGCTCTCCACTTCCGGGAGAGCTGTCCCTTTTTAAAGCCCCTTCAAAGCTTCCGGGAGCTTCCCTTCCTTTCTACTCCCCTCCCCTTTCTCTCTCTCTCTCTATTTCTCTTTCTGTCTCTCGACCCTCCCTCCTTCCCTCCCTCCATCCCTCCCTTTCTCTCTTGACTCAGTCACTGGATCTGCAGAATCCGATTGCTGGATTCCCTTTCTCTCTCTCTCCATCTCTCCCTCCATCTGCTTTCTCTCTCTCCCTCTCCATCTCCTTTCTCTCTCTCCATCTCCTTTCTCTCTCTCCCCCCATCTCCTTTCTCTCTCTCTCTCTCTCTCTCCTCCCATCTCCTTTCTCTCTCTCCATCTCCTTTCTCTCCCTCTCCATCTCCTTTCTCTTTCTCCCCCCATCTCCTTTCTCTCTCTCTCTCTCTCCTCCCATCTCCTTTTTCTCACTCCCTCTCCATCTCCTTTCTCTTTCTCTCTCTCTCCCCCCATCTCCTTTCTCTCTCTCTCTCTCTCTCTCTCAACCATCCCTTCCCTTTTCTCTCGTGGCTCAGTCAATGGATCTGCAGATTCTGATCACTGTACTGTCTCCTCTCTCTATTCTCTCTTATCATCTCTCTCTCTCTCTCCCCCATACTCTTTCTCTCTCTTTCTCTCCCCCATCTCCTCCATCCCCCTTTCTCTCTGCTTATATATCTGATCATCTGGAAGACATTGAGAAAACCAAGTCCCACACACACACACATACACACAGGGAGTTCCAAATGCATCATTCATGACTACACAACAGAGCAAATGCTTATACTCTTGTACTCTTTATTTATTTTATGGGGGAGGGGGCTGGGGGAAAGGATGGATGGAAGTACCTCTTCTATTTTTTCCCCCACAACTAACTGACTCCATGGTTGCTACGCTTGACGTAGCCCTAGAGAGAGAGAGAGAGAAATAAAGAAATAAATACATAAATAATCCAGAAAGTGCTAGCAGTTAGCACTGAAGCACCATCCACCCCTCCCACACCCACACATACATCATTGAAGTAGCCCCCACGCCATCCACATCACCCTCCCCCCACTTCAAAGTATGCCTTTCACCCATAAAATAGTCAATTCTCTTTACACAGTATCCTGTGAAGCGCTTTGAGACGTCTCGAAGACGTGATAAGGCGCTGTATCAAATGCCAGGATTATTATTATTATTACTATCCCTAAACTGAGGAGGACCCAACCTTTGCACAGTTATGATCCAACAGTAAATGTAACTTTTTCCACCCGTCTAGTTAAAAAGCGATGGAAAAGGGTGAAATGTACTGAAAATGGAGGGAACATAGCCTGGATTTCGGGAAAGGGACGCTCTTTATCAATATGAATTAGTATCCAGTGTCTGCATATGTTGGATTCTTACAGAGAAGAAATCCCCTGGCTCTTCTTACCTCGGAATTATTCTTGCACCAGATTGCATCAAGTTCCACCAGATATAATAATTCTTACATTTCATACAGCCCCTTATCATGTCTTCGAGACGTCTCAAAGCGCTTCACAGAATATACTGTAAAGTGAATTGACCATATATTTTGTGGGCGAAACATGGTAGCCAATTGTGCAGAGCAACGTCCCACAAACAGTCCAGGATTGAGTGACCAAATTATCATTGTTTATTATTTAAATAATTTTTTTTTTGAAGGGATTACTACCCCCGGAAAAGCGATCCGCCAATCGACCAACAACCGGGTTCCTACTTACTGCTGGGTAAACAGAGGCATCTGGAGTAAGGAAACGTATCTAAAGTTTCGGCTCGCCTGGGAATCAAATCCAGGTCCTCTCGCTTGAGAGGCAAGTGCTCGAACCAGAACGCTACGGAACTCCACTTGTAACGGCTGATTGAGGAACGGGGGTGATGCATAACGGGACAGAGAAACGAAGGTGTGTGCAGGCAGCAGGTCATGAGGGCACAGGATGAGCAATAGTCAATAAGAACAATAGCCCCCACCGCTAAGAAAATAATTAGACACCATTCTTGCTCTTCAAGCAAACCCCATGGAGTAATTGAAGTACAGAATGTTCCCGCTAAGTTATCTACTATTTGTAGCTGGTCACCTCTGATTCAAAGTCTTTTTTTCTTCTGAATGATTGTAATTTGGTGAATTTCAATTGTTCCGACTCAACCACCTATTCAGTCCTTGTAGCTGTCATAACAATAAAAAAATGGAGCAAGGCTCTGACAAGCTGATTCAAAATTAGCCTATGAATCGAAAAACGCTAACCAAAGAACAATTCTTGCTGAAGTTTACATGTCAGAACTTTATGGAGTAAAATCCAATTATAATCCAGTTACGGGGGTAAAATTAAGTTGCAATGTGTCACGCAAACAGAACAAAAATGAAAAGTGAGCTAAAACTCTCTGGGACATGGGACATGTCACGAAATTCAAAGTGAAAGAGTTGTAGCATACCTGTGAAGAGGGGAACAAGGACAACTTGCATTTATATAGCCCCCTTTCACACAGGGCAGCAATTTAACAGACGTGGAGTTTGATACAGAGGGGAAAGAGATAGTTACAGGAGACATGATTGAAAAGGAAAGTCTCCAGGTGCGATCTGAGTTAGAATCATTTAAGTAAAAGAGGAGTTAATTTAAGAAGGGTAAATTGGGTAATAAGAAAGTCAACGCAAGTAATTGGGCATTCTGCATTGAAAATGCTAACTAACTTTTACTGGATTTGATTGCTGAATTATTGTAAATTCAATTACTGTAAATTATTGGGCGCACTCCATATTTTATTTTCACATTAATTTCCTGTTTCAAACAGATTAAAAGAAGAGGCAAGTAAAATGAAAGATAGTAACCTTAAAAAAGTCTGCCTGGAAGCTGGTTATGATTATTAATAAGGACCCTGGTTGAATTCACAAAATCAAATTTACTTTTTTTTCCCCTTTCTATTTCTGATCAAGAATCATGGATAAACAGGATTATAAATGCAGAGGATTATGAACATCTCATCTGGATAAAAGAGTGCAGACTCCAGTGAGTAACTTCTGAGCAATTGTCTATGTGAGATGCAAAAGAATTCTATTTGGTCTTTAAATTGTTATATCTTATTCATTGTTGTAGCTTATTCACTCGGTTTCATTCTCCCATTCTATCCTTCACTGTAAAATACTTTGAAATATCATATTCATTCTATGAATATAGATTGTGTTATATCTGAAATTGTTACAATACATTTCGAACATCTTCCTATTGTTTGAAAGCCATTGTAACTAACCAGGTCAAATAACCAAACCTGTCCGTTAACCAAAATTGGGTGACAATTAGTAATCATGAATTATTAACAACCGACTGTTTAGTTTATTTGATGCATATTTCTCTTGTTACATCCACGACTGTTTGTGAGACGCTGCTGTACACAATTGGCTGCCACGTTTCGCCCATAAAATATACAGTCAATCCACTTTACAATATATTCCGTGAAGCGTTTTGAAATGCCTCAACGAGGCTCTGTATCAAATGCAAAGATTATTATTATTATTAAGATATAGTTGAATGTTCCCTCTTTAATACCACATTAAGAATACTCATATAGATGGACAAACTCTGTGTACAGGGTATCTTGCCATTATAGACCTCACTGCGATTGTTCAACAAGACAGATCAGGATATCACCTGAGCTACTGTAGCCAAGCCTCTGACTATTCACCATTATTACAAAATGCGTTCCAGAAAGAGAGTCTATGACTTAATCACAGCACGTACAAAACACAACTCCCTTCGCATTACACATTCCCCTGGATTGAATGTGAACAAGTTCCCTGCATTTCATAGTGACTGCCGGATCGTACGCCCACTGCAAGTGTTCACAGTGAGCCAAAGCACTTCAGAAAAGATCTTAATAAGAAAGAATCAATATATTTGTCAGGGTCCAAAACCCTGACTGTCCAGCACCTTGGGACATCCTCCCGATGTGAAAGGCAGGCGCTGTGTAAATGTAATCTTGTATCGTGTGGTTAAACGGCTGAATCAGGAGAATCAAACCGAGAAAAAGTCTCTGATATCTGATCTCCATTCCTGGCCGAGTGCCAGTGGCTGGGATCAGTCCAATCAATGACAGTCAGGTATTATCGAGAATTACAGCCACCCCTCCTCTACTATCACAGCGCTCAGAGCACATTGGCAGCCCAGCCCACGCAACCCACAACAAAGAGCCAGAGTGGCACTCCTCAACTATTAGCTCAAGTCACAATGGACATCTTACAAGACTCGCTCCCTACGCTACACCGTGTATGCCGTAAACTATGGGAACAGTGTATGAATGCTGGAGGACATATTGTAACATCATTTTTTCATTATCCACCTAATTTGCTTACAAAACACACGATCGCTATATTTAATAATAATTACTGTGCAACCCTTTGAGATGGTTTGATGTGATAATAATAATAAAATAATCTTTTCATTTGATATAGCGCTTTTCACGTCTTCGAGACATCTCAAAGCGCTTCACAGAATATACTGTAAAGTGAATTGACTGTATATTTATGGTAATATATATAATACACAATAATAATGTGATAAGGCGCTATATTAAGTGCAAGGATTATTATGATGATCAGAAGGAAATAGCTTGGTTGCGGTAAACCAGGACTGTTGTATATTTGATGTGCATTAGAATACATTAGAATATACAGCACAGAAACAGGCCATTTGGCCCAACTGGTCTATGCCGGTGTTTATGCTCCACATGTGCCTCCTCCTGCCCTTCCTAAGCCTATTTCTATTCCTTTCTCCCTCATGTACCTAT